GATGAAATCTTTTCATTGGTCAACGTTCCGACTTTTCTTCTTCAGGAGGTTCTAAAATTGACTCGGAGTTTAATTTGTCACCTGTCTTACCGAACGCTCTTTCCCACTCATGCATTTCCGATGTAGTGTCCTGAACGCTTCTGAACAACCTGGTTATGACTGCAAGCAACTCAGCGAAGGTTTCCACCGTGCGGAGCCTAGCTCTCGCTGTGTGTTAGTAGGATCAGTAAGGACGAATGAGTCTCACTTGAGTCTCATTGTGCCGCATAAATTAAATTGTCGTAATGCACGTTGCGCTTAAAGGCACATTCCGCGATAAAATAAGGCTATGACCTCTCAAATGTGTCGGACGATCCGGAAGGCGATTTTTGAGGCTGCGCTACTTTCAAAATGTGAAAAACGGCAAGAACTCCGCTAGAAGCTGACTAATTAGGCCCATGGACACCCCTTAGGCCCATGCCGACCCTCACCGGCTGCTAGCTACTAGCTAGTAGCCACTATGTTATCTTTCTCTATAACATTTCGGACTGCTTTTTCTGCTGCTTTTCTCCGCTAATCAGATACTTAGCACTTTTTTGTGCCTATTTGAGTTCCGTTTCCCGCAATTTGCGGTCGCGAACTGTGCCTTTAGTGTAGATTGCACTCTGATACAAACGGCAGGAGTTCATTTGTAATTAATAAACACTAGTTTCGGCTGTTCATCCGTGGTTTTCCACATGGGATTTCCGTCTTGTACCCCAGTATAGTACAATTAACATCAAAGTCGTTCCCGTTATGCTGCTCCATCTTATGCTTGCCAGGGGAGTGGTCATGATATCACGCCTTTTCCCAGCTAGGTGTTCTCTTGTTGCGCGTAGCTAAATCCCTTCTTGTTTCCACAATGTACGTGCTCTTACAAGCTCTATACCCAGTTTATAAATTACTCCAGCTTTTTCACAATCTCCTAAGTTCCATATGGGCAAACAATGCAGCCTGGTGTTATGCTCTGCCTGTCGTACAGTCTGTTGCAAACAAGTTGGGCGTGTGATGCTGCTTTTGGGAATATTCACCAAAATGACATATTCCTGTGCTCTCCAATACTGTGGTATATCACAGTGCTGAAATAAAAGGAAGACATAAGGGTAGCTGCCCCTTGAGTGGTACATGTCGTAGGCTGGCATTCAGTTTTCTGCGATGTACTCGTACAGCATAACCATTCTCTTTAGCAATTTTCGAAGCTGGCGATCTTGATGTTAGTCAATCGCCATCGCCTACATATCCTTATTGCTGACGTGATCATGTTCCTAATGACTTCACGTTTCGCTGCAGCAGCAGGTGATGACGTCACGTGAATAAGACTATACTGTTACTGCCAAGCACATTTGGACTAGATGAAGTGCACACGATGACTGTTGAAGAATACGGCACTATTCAACTATTACTACCCCAGATTTCCGGAAACGGGCCGGATTTTGACCACAGGCGCCGGCGCCAAAGTACCCTAGATCACGAAATCCGCTGAAAACTTGTACCTAGGGGTAGTTTGACCTCCTAATCACGAATATCACATTCCCTCGGCTTGAAACCGCTCCGCGTCCGCGCTACGGGCGCCGGCGCCAAAATGCCCCAAATCACTGGCGCCTATGGCGCGGGCGCCAGGCAATTTCAGGCCAAGTGGATGTGATATTCGTGTTCAGGAGGTCGAATTACCCCTAGAACCCAACTTTCAGCCAAATCCACCCCCGTAGAAAAAAGTCGATCAAGATCCGGCCAGTTTTCGCAAAACTGGGGTAGTAATAGTTGAATAGTTCCAAGAATACCTACGTTGCAATATCTTCAAATGGTCAGGACGGTATTACTCTCAAGTCAGGGGTTTGGCAATGGGTCAGCGACTAGCACCAGTACTTGCGGTCTGCTTTATGAGCAGAATTGAAGAGCCAGTACTGGTCCGTTCTCCTTCGATGTACTGCAGCTATGTACGACTACATCTGTTTCGTTATGACATCAACACAATTCAAAGTGGATGAGTGTTCCCGATTACCGAATGAGCAGCCGCAGTACACGAACTGTCACGAGAAGTACCTAATTCTTGGATTGGATTTTCGCGTCAAAACTAAGGAAGAATATTCGAAACGAGTGTTTGTTATACAAATAGATTGCTGCCGTTTGTATCAGAGTGCGAGCTACAGTAAGGGCGACGTGCATTACGACAATTTTGACTTATGCAACACGATGAGACTCTAGTGAGGCTCATTCGTCCTCACTAGTCCTGCTATTAGGTTGTCCGGAAAGTTCTCAGCGTTTTGAGTGTTTCACTTTAAACGATCATAACTTTCTTAATACTCATCGGATTTAATCGAAATAAGCACCGTTCGAATCAGCACACTTTTGCCAATGTGACACAGTCGAGAAATCCCATCAAAGAAAAAAAACTGGGTGGTCGAGAATTACGAAATCCACGAAGGCTTTTTTGCCTGGTCCTGATTGATGAAGTATTTTCCAGCAAGGAAGTTCTGAAAATGTTTGAAAAGGTGATAGTCGGTTGGTGAAAGGTCTGGAGAATATGGCGGGTGAGGTAGAACTTCAACCCCAATTCGTTCAATTTATGGATAGTGATTTGTGAAACGTGTGGGCGGGCGTTGTCATGCAAAAGAATCGGACCCTTTCTGTTGACAAGTGCTGGCTGCAGCTGACGCAATTTTCGGTACATTTCGTCGATTTCTTCACAGTAGGACTCTGCTGTGATGGTTTGGCCTGGTGACAAAAAGTTATAGTGGATCACACCAGCCGATGACCACCACACTGTGACCATAATCTTTTTTTCGTGAGGATTCGGCTTTGGAAATTGCCTCGGTGGTTCGTCGGCATCCAACCACTGTCCGGAACGTCTCCTGTTATCATACATGATCCACTTTTCATCACAGGTGACAATTCGGTCCAAAAACGGGTCGTTCTGTTGCGCAAAAGCAGTGAAGAAGAAACCTCGAGACGTGCCGATTCCTGCCGGTCACTCCGATTGTGGGGCACCCAATTGTCGAGTTTTTTCACCTTCCCAATGCGTTCCAGACCATCTGCAACAGTGGATTTGCCAACGCCTAGCTTTTCTGCAATCTCTCGAACTGTTTGGGATGGGTCAGCCTCCACAAACGCCTTCAAATCCTCGTCAGGTATTGCTTTAGGTCGACCGCTATGAGGTTCATCTTCAAGGCTGAAATCTCCAGAACGAAATTTGTTGAACCATTGTCGCACGGTGCTTTCTCCTAACACTATTGGGCCCCCACACCTGGTTAATTTGTCGAGCTGTCTCGAGTGCGGATTGACCTAATTTTTAGTTGAAAAAATATCGTCCGAAGTTGCTCTTTTGACATGCTTCAAAAAGTCTTGGGAAAAGGGGTTTATCAAGCAATGGTGAAACGGCAATTATACCATCAGATAGCGCAAAAAATTCTCTTCAGGATGTACTACTGAGACGCAAGGGAGAATGAGTTTTTAATCAGCAATGAATGTACAAAAAATAGTAACACAAAACGCTGAGAACTTTCCGGACAACCTAAACAGTGCGAGCTAAGCTTCGCCCGGTGGAACCTTCGGTGAGTGATCGCAGTTATTTCCGGGTTGTTCAGAAGCGTTCGGGAGACTACACTGGAAATGCTAGAGTGGGGAATGGCGTTTGGTCAGGCAGGTAACACATCAAAAGTTTCGAGTCATTTTCAGGCTCCGGAAGGAGTCGGGAAAGTTGAATTATCAGGCCAATGGAAAGTTTCTTGTAGCAACCTCGTTACAAGAAATAAATGTACATTTGATAACTGTAGTGCTTTCCGTTATTTGTAGCTTGTGAATACTCTGACAGGGAACTACTAACTGTTGCTTTACACAGTGCGAGTTTGATCGAAGCCGTATCTGCGTGTGCTTCTATGCCACACTCTCTATTGCTTTCTTGCCAATGAGCTCTAATCCTCTTCGTGAAACACATTATTTCTCTTGCTGTCTGGCGGAGCTCTTCCCACTCCGCCCCCCTGGAGGAAGCTGTTGGCATTCTCTCCTGCCGGCAGGCATCCGTCCTGTGTCAACACCATGAGGCAAGGAGTGCCATTGTGGTAAGTTTTGATTTGGCATCACTTTCTATACCAAACTACTAAACAGGAACCCTCAACGTTCTGTTCTTGCTCAACGGTCAACGCTTAAGCACAGTAAGGCTATCCGACCCATTCAAAAGACTCCGATGTGAAGATGGGTACAGCTGCCACTTATTTACTGCCGTATGAAAAAACTTAGCAGTCAACCCATCAATTCAATGTTCGGGCAGAGCTCCTCACTATATTATACAACACAGTTCACCAAAAAAATACATTTTATAGGCCTCTACTGCTTCTGACTGCTTTTGCTTTTCTCGCAGTCAACGTTTATTCGGTGAGTGTACCGTGTTCAGTGGTTATAGTTTTTTTTAGTTTATATTTTCCGGAATTCCATACTGAGAGAAAGCAGCCTCAAACTGCTGGAAAACATTTTCTAGGTACTAATTATCATTCCGTTTAATAATCACCCGTTCACTAGCTTGGAACATCAATGTGAAAAAAAGGAATGTGCTTCTGTTCCGTCAAACGCGAATTTTGATGTAATCTTCTTTGTGGAATGACCGGATATTGCCCCGTTTGGTCCCCCGTTTATATCGTAACAATTTCCTCTGCAAACTTTATTATTATTCAGTTTTACACATTTCTTTGCATATCGGGGGCGTGAAGGTTTTCTTCAGCTTCAACTTTTCAATTTCCTACACATTAGGAATTAGCCAGGTGGCCTTTTGTACACCTTTCATTGCTTCAGTGAGATCGCTGTTTCCTTCGTATTACTCTTTCTCTTCTCATGTCTTTATGGAGCATTTATGGAGCGCCGATTTTTTTTTGTTTCGGTTTAAATATTTCTAAACGTCACACCACTGTTGACTGAAATTCTGACTTTAGCAAACGACTTGTCGAGATTGCTCCAATCGAGGATGTTTTTGCGTAGGAGAGAAGGGTTCTATGGTAGGTGA